TTAAGTAACAATAATCTGGAATGTGTATAGGGATTGGACATGTTGGGGGGGTACCCCTCGGTCTCATTTCTTGCTGGGTGTAGTGCATCCACTTGCCCATCCATTGCCTTGTCTCACTCCACTACAATTTGAATGAACACACTCCATAAACTTACGAAGACCATTATAAGAAAAAGACTCTTAAACTCTGATTGAATAAGGAAATGCAGTTAATCCAATTCATTGGTATGTTCTGGCTCACAAGTGTCATGAATGAATCATTTAACATTCAAAAAAGAGGCGGACGACGAATACCATTTGAGCGGCAACGGGGGGCGGAACAATTTTGAAAGAGGAAGGGGGTAGTTGTGAGAACATCAGGCATATCATTCATTAATAGGTTAATCTATCAAGCCTCACCCCATTATAGGACCAGCAGGAAGTGGCAGGGGGGAGGCTAGTCAATAAAGTGGGGAGGCCACTGACTCCTCAAGACAGCAAGGAGGAAAATATTCAATATGGCTCACATGCCACCTGAAACTTTCTTTGAAGGCTATTTGTGCAATGTGACCAGCCCACAGAGTACAATTTGCCTGTATACCAGCTATTTTTTTGGGGGGGAGGGGGAAGGAACACACTTTTCACGTAGACATAAAGTTATACAATGAACATTGCATGACTCAGCTGTGAAACACATTTACATTTGAGTAATTCATGAAATTGGCCAATGGCCCCAGCTCAAGGATTATGGGTTTACATGGGTACCATGGACACATGCACAATTGTCGCATCACTTACCGTTGTCGAAATAGCGAACCCCGGTGACTGGAGATGACTCCAAGGGAGAAAAGTCGGCCATTAATGGTGCTATGTACTGGGTGGCTGCCAAATGTTTGTGGATGTATGACCCAGCATAAATGAACCCTGTAAAGAAGCAATGACCAAAACAGATGTTTAAATTGATTGGCAACGTGTAATGTTTCCAAGGGTTACATACATGTACACGTACTCAGAAATTTGAAAGGCAATTGTCGTGCTTTGGCGATTTTGAAAACAGTCTCCTCCATTTTGTTTTCACTGCGACAGGAACAGAAAATAACTAAGACAATTTACATTTTTTCCATCAAAATCCTTTAACCGAAAAGGAAAACAGTCAAATAATCAGACTGTTTTCACAGGGGTCCCACCTCGCGTATTAAAAAAAACTGAACAAAAGTCTCAAAATGGGATTGCTTCCAGGTCTCATTCCGTCTCAAGCTAAAAGAAAAGAAACCACTCACCTCCTGTGGTGATAACAAGGGAACTGACTTCATGGCCATAGAAAGGGAATACAAAGTTGAGGTGAACATTCTGGAAAGGAGTCAGATAAACATGTAGGAGACAAATTAACTGGAAAGTGATTGTCAGTGACACCGGAAGAAAAAACTTGCAAGTCGTGCTTGTGGGATGTGTGGATTAAAGGTAAAATCACATTGACATTGGAGGGTTGATGACTGTCATATTGACATTGGAGGGTGAATGACTGCTAGGGTATAGAGGTCTATTGAGGTTAACCCTAACAGAAAATAAAATACTTAAAAACAGTTACAATCAATTTAAATAGCACATTAACTTGATGAACATTAACAACGACACAGTTTCAAAACAATGTAACACATCCATGTTTTGTCCATTTATTCATCGGTATTCTAGGACGGCAACAATATCCATGGTTTCAATTCCACTGAGAGTTGATTTTGTATAGATCCAGATGATTTACGTATGTACATAACACAGTTTTCCCAGCAAAGGCTTTCCACGAGGATAAGGAGTAACAAAAAATAAAGGAGGTTGGTTACGAATGCCTGCAACGCTAGCCGCCATATTGATTTCCAGTCCTTTGTGCAGGGAGCAAGGACGATATCAAAACTTCCAAAAATACTCACTTCACACTAGGCAAGAATACAGAGAAGAAACGGTCCTGAATGATAGCCGTAAAAACCAACCAACAGTCAACATACAGGACAGATAAACAGCGATGAATACACAGAAGGTAGATTTTGACAGATTAAAAAGTGTAAGATAACAAGAGATACATGTAAAATACATAGGCAGCCACTAAAAAGTAAAAGGGCACCCTCTTTTTTGGTAAATTGTAATTTGACAGGTCACTGTGATGCTACACGGGAATTTTTTCTCAGAGAAAGACCTACACATTTGATGCCTCTCTCATAGTGACCACAGAAAAACAGTCACCGGTGAAAACAGCCACGGTAACGAACAGAAGAAAGCAATTTTTTCATACATTGTGCATTTCTATGTGGGGACTTGGGTGCCGGTGGCATGCAGAGTTTCAAAAAAATCCAGACTATGGGCACGAACCAAACTGCACCTACACACGCGTATTACGGTTCGCTACATGCTTTACTCAGCCAGTTGAGAAAAGAAATGTACATGAAAGTTTACACACATGTACTTAACAAACTGAAGGAGGAAATGTACAGACAGGTAAGCTTAGCCTGACCCTCCCCATAATCCACTGGGTGAATTGGGACAATCCTGTTGGATTAATGAGCGTAGAGCCCCAGCAGGTGGTTTTGCAGCTTGTGAATATACAAGTAGTACTGGGTGAGGAGCATGATTTATGCCACAACTTGACACATTCAAATGCAAATAGGTGCCACTGTATTTCTCTGCCAAGTGGTGGTTCTAAGAGGACTCCAAGAAATTGTTCCAGCAAAGGAATGCATGTTGTGGGGGGGAGTTAAACAATTCATATAAAGGCAGTCATGCACACAGCTTCTGCCCTTCTCAACTGGGTTTTCTTTGAAAGTGGGGTTATTTTACGGTCATTTAATCGCCTGAAATGAAGAGCAAGTTGGGTTTAAATGCCTGTAATTGGCTCATTTCAACAAGAGTACAATGTGATACTTTAATTGGACAGATTTTCAGTACCGGCCCATATCTCATTATCAGCTTTGAGCAGATTCTCAGATATCCACAATGGAATCAAAGATTGTCAATACGGCTTAACAACAATATGTGCCGAGTTATGGAGGCTATACTAGTCCCAAAGTGGACACCTGGATATACAGTCAAAACAGCAAAACAAGAGATTGACTGTTATTGCAAAATGCATTTCTCTACTGTCTGCCACCAGGAAAGCAGATCAAACAGTTAGCATGTCTCCATTTTCCAGATTTTCTGCTATGTGAAAAGCAGATTTTATATTCTTTACCCCACAATGACGGTTCATAATGCCGTTCTACTTTGCCACTAATTGAAATGCAGATTAAATAGTTTTGAATAGTCAATATTTCTGCTTTCTACTTTCCATCCAAGAGAGCAGATTTAAGACTTTTGTCACTGTGGTCTGAAAGGTACCGCCGGCTAGTTATTTCCAATCTGCTAATACCTGATATATGTACCTCCATTAACCCGAAAATTGAATACATGTAATTCCAGGTTCTGTGCCACCATCAATATTGATTGTTTGTGGGGCCAAATCCACCCAATCTGCCCAAGCTGGAGCTTAGCAAGAAAGAAAAAATTTATGAGCCAAGTGCTATAACACTATAGCCATGATAGCAGAGTTAGTTTCAAATGATAGTTTTGTTTACCAGACAGTAAACACAGCATTAAATTTATAGGAAGGTTGAGATGGAACAAAAATGACTAGTGGCAAGGCTTATCTTTTTATGTATAATTAAATTATCCAAGGTAAGACGGTGGAAAAAAAGCAGAATCCGAATGGACAAATACAGGGCATTTTCAGGCAAACAGGCAACTTATCTTGAGTTCCACTTTGCTTTAACTGTGGCTGATAATGTGGCACATTAAGGAAGAGATGCAGTACGACAATGCCTCATTGTGTGCCTGCATGTTGTACCAAATCGTAGAGATCCAAATTAGAAGGGAATAAAAGCTCCTGGTGTGTCCAGAAATTAGACTGGCTCACCTCTTTCTCATTCCCGAGTCTTTCTTTAAAATTTCACAGCCAAATTTTCTTAAACTTAGTCTGAACCATTAAAACCACAATGAAGAAGGGAACAACTGGTGGGAAAATGTTCTCCTAGCTTGCAGGTGTATAGCACGGGAGCTGGTACATTTTTCGTGGGCAATCCGTCTGGGTGGCAACATGACCACCCCATGGTTTCACTTGAGATCTGACATCAAAACCGCACGCTAAACCACCAATCGTGGCATGAATAGGGCCACTGTTCTAACACCCTTTGCCAATGGGTGTCATTTCGAGGAAACAAGGCCATTACTTTTACTTTATGCCTTTTTTTCCCACTTCAATCCCACATAGGCAATATAAGGTTGATTTTATATTCCTTCCTTACACCTACAGTATGTGTTTATCACACATACATGTACATGCACTTTAACTCTGCATGCATTCCTGCCTCTCAACCTTTTATTAAAACGGTGCATAAACATTTTGCTCAGCTTTTTTTGTTGTTTACTCGTGATACATTTCGCTTGTTGGAAAGCTCAAAAATTACTTTTAAACCACAGTTTGTGTCTCACCACCATAAGGTGAGGCAGAGGAAGGGGGCAGATGATCAAATGGCCAACCCCAATCAGTCCCAAAAGTGGGGGGGAGGGGGTGATACAGGTATATACATGTTCTCTGTCCCCCTCTGGGCATAATGTGCCCGGGCGGAAAGACTGTATGACACTACGGCAAGTCTCCATACCTTTCCATTTCTTGCGCCAGTTGCTAGAGTTTCAGGAGCTTCAACGAGGGGTCTTATCCGCTGATCGTCCAAGTCTACCCAGAATGCACTCCCGCCAGCGTCGGACCGGAAGCACTGAGATGTATAGTATCTGTGATTGTCCTCCTAGGGGGAAAAGAATTATTACATTCAGCAATTAAAATACATGGCCCAGAACTGGGCAAAACAAGAGACAAGTTGCATTTCCAGTTGCCTGACCCGACCCAGCAAATTATGCAGTCCACCATTTATGCCAAAAATATGCCATGTATACACTGGCTAAAAAAAATTGGACACCCCCTCAAAAAAATTACCCACCCACACATTCTAATTTTTTTTACTGTTAATGGAAACACACATTTATTTTTTTTGGCCTTGGCAACAACATTATCAAGAAAGCCTAATATGAAATAACTTGATGAAGTCATAATTTGTAATATGTTAGATGCAATTGCAAAATCCAAGTTCTCTTACACACCAGAGGGGGTGTATAAATGCTCCTGTTATTTTAGGGGTTCGGTTTTCCTATTTTTTAGAGGCCAAAGAGAACAATGTGTCAACCTCCAGTATTAGACTCAAGTGGCTAAGGTGTTTTTGTTGACCAGGTTATATTGTGGCAAATATGGATAACACTCAAGTGTGTACAAACTATACAACTGGCAAAGTACCGTACAACAAAGGCTTTTTCCTGGGTACGGTGAAATCTCTTGAAATAGACAATACATCCTTGAAATGTTCTGCATTACTGTCAGTCATACTGTACAGTGTTCACCTCACTTTTCCTGGAGTCTGTGTATATGGAAGGCGTACAAAGGTGCCTTTCTTCAGGTGGTGAACCAAGGAGGAAGAATCACATCTACTATTACACACTCTGCACATGATGAGTCTAGGAATACTCTACGACAATGACCACGTGTGTGTCAAAGTCGATTTAAGTTTGACCCACAGCACCATCCCGCCCACAGTACCATAGCCTAAGGTTGAAAGAGTAAGGGAGAATGTTGTCTTCAACAGACAAGACTTGGAATCCTGCACTTCGTAAATCACTAGTTCCAACAGTTGTCTGTTTTTTGTCACATGTTTGAGAGATTGTTTTAATCCTTAATTGTCATTTCATTTCCATACTTCCTTATTATAAACTGCATTCATCATCATTTTAAAGGCTAAAGTTTCATATGTGCAGGTATTTCCTTTTTAATGCCAGTGCTTAGAGAGTCACATTATATATTATTACATGTATATGCAAAAGATGTGTTTGAAATTCATGTTTGTTTGTACTGCGGAAGCCATTTAAATTTCCTTATGATAAAGTTTGTATCTATTTATCTGAATTCGTCACCTGAATCTCATTAACAACCCGGACACTTAAATGAAAAGTTTTACAAGACATAATAAACACTTTTTTACACTAAATCACCACTCTGCTTTTACATGTACATGTACATTGTAGGACACGTTATTCCTTGTGGTATACTTCTGTTATTTGAATTTTAAAAATCATTTGAAAAAAGTTACTTGAATTTATAAAAGGAAAGAAAAGCAATTAAACTTCGACAGCATCTCATGTACATGTACATTAATCATCAGATAACACTGCATGGGAAAAGCTAGCACCATTGAACCAAAGTTGTATCAAATTCACATTTACCAAGTCCAATCCCATGAGAGTGTTCAAAAACCAGGTTTCAGTTACTCGCCAAGACAGGCACCGGAATAGTTTTGTACCTGTTTGTGTTTTGCTTATTTTTTTTGGGACAGAGGTGTGGATTGTGAGTCACCAACATGCTTCCTGGGTCAAAACCCAACGACAAATCTTGAGCATGGGTCCTTGAAATATATAGACAAATACTGACGTGGGTGGTTTGTATGTCACGGTGGCAACTTTCTCTTTTCTGATGAAGTAGCCTAGCTGGCTTCTTGTGCTTTAAATCTTAACTAAGTTTCCTCTTAAAGATGGTTTATTAGAGACAACGAAAGTGCTTTTTTTTTTACTAGTGTTTCATTGCAAGGATGGTTGGCTTGGTCTGTTTATCTTGTGACCATGTTGTTAATGTGTAGTCTTTATTGGGTTTGCTCTACACTTTGGTTAAGCAACAGTTCCCCTGTCTGTATTTCCTTTGTTTACTCCTTCGCAACACTTTCTCTGGTTCCCTGAAGTGGATTTGATTTGTGAAGTAATGCTTACTAAAATTCTTCACCTTACGTTTCTATTTTGTGTTTTTTTCTGTCTGCATTCTGGAGCATTCGCTATTGGCGCAGTTTTCTTCCTTGTAAGCTACATTTTCCCCCGAATTTTTATTTGTTTGTCATTTTTCCCCACTCTTGAAGTTTTCTCTCTTTAATGACTGATGTTTAATTCTGATTTGTTGGCAAGTTTGAAATATTTTTTAATGAGAAGCCTATTTTGATTCAGCCTGCTTCTTTTTTTGACCAAGCCTTCAGGACTGTGAACTACAAAAAAAATACACTGTACCATATTTGCAGGTTACGTGCTGTGATGTCGAAAGATCACAATGTTACATACATGTACATGTATATAGGGTGATAAAGAAAGAAATGCGACCCCAAAATAACATTTATTTTCTCCCAAAAGAATTGTCAAAATTTTGGGGGGTATCAAATTGAAGCTTTGGATGTTGTCTTTTCAAAATTGTAGGCTTAATTCAAATCTGACGATGCATTGCAGAGATATTTCCAATTATTCATTTTTGGGGGGAGTTTTATCCAATGGAAGCAATATACAAGAACCATTAATCCTGAAAGTGCATGCAGTCATCACTGAAATCAAATTTCCAAATTATCACACAGCTGTTAGGGTTTGATACTTCTATCCATTTCTTCTAGCTCTAACTTTGATGAACTGCACGCTTATTTCAGACAGGAATGGTTGATATTTGTAGTTTCCGAGTTTAATTTAGTTTGTTTTGGAGAAAGCAACTTCAGCTGAGCCTGTGTAAATTACCTCAGTCAATTTGTAAGAGGACACTGATCTTATTACTTCCAGCTGTGACAATAACAACTTTGAATCATTTCAGGATCCTGTTCATTTGTTCAGGAAAAATGAAGTTTTAACGTCTTAATATGTCTCAGTATCCTCGTTCTGGTCTGGCCACACTCAGTGTAGCAGATCAGCAGAGACCAGTCACCTCCACATGTATTGTTCCTCCTAACTGGAGTGTGGTTTTCTGATTGAGCCGTATTTTGCTGGAAGTCAGCGACTGAAGTCCAAGTGTAAACTCATTAGGTCTATTTTACATATTGTGTTGGGTTTAGGTTTTCGTCTTTTTTAAATGTTTAGTCTTTTGGTTGAAATCTTTTAAGTTCTTTAGTCCTTTTGGGTTTTTTTCATTTCTTCCCAGTACTTCTTCATTAATAAATCCTTTTTGTCCTTAGTATTTGTTGTTTTGTGAGTTTCCTATAGTGTGCCATTTTTCCCCGTTACACACCCACTAAGTCACTTGACCTATAGTGGGTATTAAATATCAACAAACACAGCGCCCACCCAAGCAATGCCCAAACCAAAGTGTCTCATACATGTACGTTTCATTTACCAAAAATAAAGCTGATGGTACATGTAGGTATCATACTCAGACTTCTGATGCACTAGTAGTATACCACAACTTGGCTGTATCGTTTGTATAAACAACACTAAAAACACACATTGCTAGGGGGTTGATACCCACTATAGGTCACATGATTTAGCGGGCGAAATCGGTCTATTACAGGCAACAATGAAGAGCCGCTCTCTATAACTTCCCCACTCTTCACCTCATGAAAGAAACAAATTACCTCGAAAACCACTACAAGAAAGAATACTTTACTGCAGTCGCTGTTACATAACTTCATTGTCCCAGTTTCAAGTACACATGGGCAATATACCTGTAGGCCTATGTACCAGTAGGCAAACCCCCGGGAGAGCTACAAGGCCACTCATCTAGCCCTGGCAATTTTGGGCCATAAGTATTTGGATGCTGTTCTTGATTATTGGCATCTTGATGTAGGCTCAGGAATTGAGGGTACACAATAGACTTCCAGAGAAATACTGTCCTTGCTGAATTTTGAGCAAACAACAATATCACACCTGTGGACATACACGAGGATGCCCCAAGCTACATGTACATGTACATGTGCATGTATATAGGCCTAGTCCCTTATTTCACTTTAATTCAACTCTTCTAGTTTCTGCTTCCAACAATGCACTGGCGGGCACTGAGATCCCCATGATAGGAGCAAAATGTTTTTGTTTTTGTAAAATATGAGAGAAATTTGTGGACTTCATTGCACTTCCCTTCCTGGCCTCCAAAGCAAAAAATAAAAAAAAAAATCTACCTTGAGGTTTACTTGGTGTTGAGGAACTGAGGTTCATTTACACTCGGCACAGGGCAAGACATACTGTACACAGGGTGACCCCCGAAACACGCAACCCAAAAGTAACATTCTCTTTTCTCCAAAAATAACTGTCAGAAATTCTTGTTTTGGTATCAAATTGAAGCTTAGGATAGTTTTCATAGTTTTCAAAAGATAAACATCTTTTCAAAACTTTGACAACTTCACAGGATGTATACTGGAGAAATCCTACTTGTTTGATTTGAAAACAGCACAAACCAAAAATATTCCCACACAAACTCTCCCAATTTTGAGATGGTAACTCAGACATGTCCATTTTTGAAGCTAGAACTTTCAAATTACTGGTACGGTTAACTAAAATGACAAACACTGTTACAGAGTCCTCTGAACTTATTTAAACATTAACACAATTGCACTTTTATTTTGGAAGTTCTACTGGGTCTGAACGTTTGCACACAAACGGAAAACTATTACCCGCTTTAGGTTTTCTTATGTGCGACACAACACCTGCAATGCAACAAATACACTCGAGGTCAAGAAGATGTACCACTGTGGCCATGAAAAGGCAATAACCAGTTCAGATAGACCACTACCAGCATTTCAATGAGCCTTCTGGGTTGGGGCATTAATCACTTCAGGGTTGGGGGGCAGCCAAACTCCTGAGAAAAAAAGTTGTGTCTGGTGAGGTGATTTGCCTTCAATGAAAGTATGCCAGTAAAAGTTGACTGGGCACTGCCCCTGTAGCAGGGGATGTGTACACCAATGTCATGACCTCAATACAAGGGCGGCATACACCCTATTCTACCATGTCTACTGGACTAAATGTTGCCTGGGGCTGAGTGGACTAACAAGTTGAGGTGCAGCCGCAGATGAAAGAACAGCATAAATGTGCAGGCAACCCAGGACAATCGTCAGAAACAGCATATCAATATTTACCAACACTTGTGTGTTTGACAATGCCCCCCACGTTTCTCCCCTTATACAAAATTAGCACAATTGACTTTGAATGCTCACTGAGGTGAGGGTTAAGAAAACAGCTCTAGGCTAACTGGGAAGGGGAAAAAACACATACAAGGCATTTACTACATTTCTCTTCAAAGTACGTATGAGCGATTGTTAACTGGAAAAAAAGAACAAGTAAGTCACTACTTCACACAATGACTTTCGGATGTTTGCAAGGGTACATGTACGGGTATTTCCGGTAAGGGAAGGAAGGCTCTTGACATAAGCTTGGGGAAAGGAAGACAAGCTCCATGAGGCTATGCTTAGGGCAACGCACAAGCCAGAATATGTGTGGGTATTTCAGTTGTCTTGTACATGCAAGTTATGCAACGTCAGGTCCAACTGGGTGTCTATAAGTAGACTGAAATATAGAAATAATAAAAAAAAGTCAAACAAGTGTTACTGTTCATTTTCAACTACATGTACATGTACAGTGAGTCATTTTGACCATCATTAATTATTATCTTTTTTTTTTTGCTTCCAAACCCAAATGAATTTCATGTTCGAGCTCAGACAGGCTATAAGACACCCACGGGTGGTGCTCAAAGACCAGAGTTTTACCTGTTTTTAAATGCAACATGCGCAAAATTCCATGTAATGTGGGGGCTCGAAATTTAGGAAGAAATCTCCCAAGAACGTTGATCCTCTCTGATTAAACAACTCCACTGCTAACAACAACAGACAGTGCCTACAAATCCTGCTTTACTGTTTGAGCCATTTCTTGCCCACAGGTGAAGCTATATACATGTATGTACCTAGAACCACTTTAATTTGTGGATATATTCTCGTCATCTGGTTTCCTTTTCCTGACCAGAGATGGAAGGGAGTCATCAAACTGAAATGCAGAAAGTAGGCTTGTTGCATGTGCACTAGGGTCTGCTGATGTATTAACTCCATTATTGAAAATCAATATTGCCGATTTCAAATTTTTTAATCACATCAAATTTCGAAAATCTCAATATTGGGAAAGGAAGTCAGGCAATCAACTTCCAACATCATTCTCCCACGATAATTATAAAATGCAAACAGTAGCAAATTGCACCCATGACTGGATGTAAAGACAACTCACAAGCAAACTACATGTATCAGGTGGGGTTCATTCCCCGTACCTCCCCCCTGACTGGCCTGCATCTGAAAAGTATTCTGTCCTTGCAAACTTTTCTCAAGCAATTGTGAATATAATCTGCACTTTCGACATCAAGGTCGTGTTTTTCCAACAAGTGGATGCTAAAATTACGGCTGGTCATCCGTACAAAAGTTAAAGAATAACTCACAAAGCATTAGAAATCCCCCACAGCTACGTGTATGGGAGCATCAGCTAATAATACACGCACTACTTTAAGAGCCGAGTCAATTTGAATAATTCAATGTTCGAATATTCGACCTTCAATTCGATTGAATATCCGAATATTCGGTCATAGCGACCAGCAGATTGTTAACAAAGAAACCATACACAATATCAGTTGCTATAATGCACATAACTGTACATTATAATCACTATAATAGCTTCTCATATGTAGGAGTATCTCCAGCCATGATTTAGCAAGATTTAAGAGATGACAATACTTCTTGCCCAGTTGAAAATTTCTGTTCCTTTTAAATTGTTTAATGAATAATTTACTTTTTGCATCATTGATAGATTTTTGTCGCTTTCATTTAAATCTGCTTGAAACAAGCTCCATAGTGCATTTTTCTCATTTAAAGCAAAAGAAAATGTTCCCTTCATTTTCATGAATTTTGCATTGGAATATTCAAATTTGGAAATACTATTTGAATATTTGATAATTGATCAAATATTCGGATATTCAGCATAGCCCTAACTACTTAATAGTAAATAAAAATTCAACCCTATTTAAATTAATGGGACAAATGTTTAATTTGAACACATTTGAGCTAAAATCGAAAAACAACCAAAAGGTGACATCCCTGCAAACTTTGGTCGTCCATACAAGTTGCAGGCAAAATGAGAGTGGTCTATAAGGTAAATAGAAGAATAGGAATTAACACAACACACTTCTAAACCACTGCAGAGGGCAGGCCTCAATAGTAATTTTTTCAACTACTTGTCCATTGAGCAAGTAGCACTGAAAATTTACTTGTCCGAGGTAAGATTTTACTTGCCCAAACCCTGGTTTAGTTGCTCATTGCTTCTCGGGAAAGTAAGTTCCTTCTTCGCCACAATACGACATGAATATACATCACCCCCAACTACTGCGTCTGAGCAGGGAGTGCACAGGACTCTGATGCATCATACAAGTTCAGGCAACGGCTATTTCTAAACCACTCAACGATTTTGCCTGGTGTCAAATATGCAAAAAGTACACACACAAGTACCGAGCAAAATTCACTAAAGTTGAAGTCATGCACAGCCACATATAAAAGAGTCTTCAAGCTTTTGGCCGTCAAAAGTTCTGCTGCTCTGCGCATGCAATAACGAATGAGGTTTGGTACCCAGACACAACCTTGGGAATTTAACAGTTAATTTGTGTGTGCATTTTCCCTTGTATGGGAAGTTGCTCTGCTGACGGTACAGCATGCTTAATTCATGCCAAGTTTGTACATGTACGTAACGAAGCAAAAATCATTATACACCACACAGCTGCATACTTTTTACCACTTTTTCTAAGCTTTTGTGAAAAGGAAAAAAACATATCAAAGGTAAATTTGCTGACTGCTATTCTTGGCCATGACAAACTGACACTTTTATTTCAAGAAAAAAGTACCTGTCCATCGGGCAATTTGTCCCTAATTTTTACTTGCCTGAAAGAAGAAATTGCTTGTCCCAAGCAATTGGACAACTGTCATGCCTGGCTGTGGGTGAGTTTTGGGAAGGGAAGAGGCAGGTGGCAGGGCACACTACCGTATGAGTGGGCTACAATTGATTTATGCTGTGTGTAAATTTAGCTATATAAACATGCTGAGACAGACCTAGACCACAATTACAGGTTGCTGAAAATAAATCTACTCCACCTAGCAACCACATGCTTTCATGAGGACAGGCCCCAGCCTTCAAAAGTTGTGAAGTATTGTAATTGCTGCCTTCTGTCAAGTCAGATTGAAGGTGCATGGCCTGATAATAGTTTTCAAGTCTTTGTGGAAATCAGTCAGAGCTAGCTACAATCCTCCCCCCGTCAACGTTGTCATGTCCAGCCGGAGTGCAGACTGCGCACACAGACCCAACATTCAAAGGGGGTCTGGGGCGTGGCTGGAGGCCCAGTGAGATTCGTCTAGGATTGTAGGTGTTGACCCCTTCAGGTATAGCCAGCTCTGTACATATATTTCTAAAAAGCAAGGTCATTCAATGAAGATTGATAGGGCATACCAACTCCAGCATGCATGTATGTTCAGTGCTGGAGTTGGCATATAGCAAACACACGAGCAAGTGTCAACATTGATATCCATGACACGAGTAAAGGCCCACAACGAGCATGTACATGCTTTATAGTACCTGCAGGACACATTGTTGAATAAACAAACAGGCGCACTCTTCATTAAGCAACAGAAGCATATCCAAGATGCCCGTCCAAGGACTTACCACAATTACCGTCACATTTGCGTCCGTCTCAGGCTGCTGCGTTGGCAACTCTCGGCGATGTCGTTGGTGATGGTCTGCATGTATCTGCACTAGGTAGTCCAGGGGCTCCTCAGTGATTCCCTCCAATTCATAGACGGGCGACTTTGATGTCCAAACATCTGCGTGTATATATATGAAAGGAGCACATTAACAACAGGTGAGGGATTGAGGAGGGTTAGGGTTAACCCTAACCCTCCTCAATCCTTCACCTGTTGGAAGACTGAGGAGTGTTAGGGTTAAGTAGATGTGTAGTTAAGCATGCACGGTGTGTGCACGCAAGGTACTTTTTCAAATACCCATATGTCCTTTCACCAAATCCTGAACCATGAAACTCATTCAAGATTAGGTTGTTGAGCGAGAACATTGAAAACTTACAAAAAGGGAGTTTCATTTTCCTAGGCAAGCACACAAGCATAATTCTTTGAGCTGGTTGTCTTTTTCTCATACAAACATTAATGGATGTGCGAAACCACAGTCAAAGATAAGTGGGGGCTGTAGTGATTGTGATTTCCAAAAAAAACATACATGTACATGTACACCTATTGAAGATGTCTTATGTTTAAATATGTGATTACATGTATTTGATCAGATTCAAGGTAACTGAAGGACATCCAAGAACAAAAAATTACAGCCTTAATCATTCATCACTGCCATTTAGGTTTGATGGTTAGGCAATTTAAGTTAATAACTGGGTATACCAGTTCAAGTCTTTAAAGTGGTTTCAAGGCTATTAACAACATCATCAATTATTTGGGGACAATTTACAGGCATTTCAGGCTTAGAATACCACAGGCTTTTGTATGACATGTACATGTTAGGAGATCCTGACATCTGCAGGTTAAATTAAACCGGCAGAAGACGACCCAAGAAGCCAAGATTGCACAAAACACCTGGACAAGAGCACAGAAAGCAAAGAACAGATTGAGCTCGAGTGTCGATCAATACTGTGCCAGTCTTTTGGCCTTCCTCCAACCCGCCTTCCAACCCTATAATCAAGGGCCTCCACACAGGATCATCAGCCAGCCAGCAACATTACAAGAGAGCTAGGCCTTAGAAGCGGAGACAGGCAGACAAACAGGTCTAATGAACAGGCCCAAACTGACAGCAAGTTATTGTCATAATTAAATCCCAAGGTGAAACTGACAGATAATCCCCTAAAAGGTCTCTCAACCCCTGCATTTATGGACAGTGAAGACATTCACAAAAGACTCAGGATAAGGACAACAGCAGATCAAGGCCTCTGAAAGTTGACTGGGCACGTATGCACAGTACATGGATCAGATACAAGTAGGTAGAGTGGAAAGCTTGTGCAAATATAAAAATATTAGAAAATAAAGAATTTTTAATAACCATGCACCCATCATCATCTAGGTTAAAGAATTGGTGTTAATATCAAGCATTCATATTATGGTTTCACGGATCATGCTTTGAATACCACAGGGATTTCACTGTAAAGTGTGTATTTGGTGTCTTTAGTGTTCGCATAAAAAAAAACCTGCAACAGACCACCCCAATTCAGCCAATATTGCACAAACCACTGACAAGAACAGAAAAAGCAAAGAACAGAACAGATTGAGCACTGTGTCAATCAATACTGGGCTAGTCTTCTTGCCCTCCTCCAACCTAAACTCCAGACCCTAAAAGGATATAATCCCCTCCCTAATCCACCTCCAATTCTGACCCAAATTCACAATCAACCTTTCGCAGTGCACTGCATAAACCACAACTGTGGGGACTACACACAACTACGCAAGTTACTAACATGGACAAGCTCATCATAGGGGACAATTCTTCGTCCACAGTTCTGAATTTGGCCTTGGCACAGGGCCAGCTACATGTAGGTACATATGTTGTGCTGCTGGTAGCGGATGGAGAAACAGACAAAAGCATTTAGGCTATTACCAGTAAATGTACTGTATAAGATTTCAGACAAGTACATGTAGGCAAAGGGGTCTGTGTCCTTGCTCTATGGATGTGCCCTGATGCAAACCTGAAAGGAGTAATTGTCATGAGAGAGTCTCAGAGTAAAAGGTACGCTAAAGGAAGGAAAGCGAACACAAAAGAACTGAACCACTGAGGATGGAATTCCAGGAGAGGGTGCCAAAACATGACAAAGGTGCTCACAGGGTAGGCTACAAATGGTTTATGTTACATACCTGAGCAATTATCAACTTTAACAAGACTTGGAACACAAAATACATCTACAGTGCTTGACCTACGTGTAGCAACATTTCAATAGGACAAACACCAGGTTTCAAAGCTTTTGAAGTTTTGAATTGGTTACTAAGTGCTTTGTAAATGCTGCCTTTCCTGACACTCAGGCCTCTGCAATACTGGCAAGCACATGTGCCTGTATGTTCACATAAATGTGTACACAAACATGGGAATAAATACGTGCATGGCCGATCTTGGCTCAGGGAATGGACACGACTAATGCTGAGCCACAGGCCAGGGTCATACTATTACCAGCATTCATTCTCCTCAGCAAGGTCTTAAACATTAGTTTTAGACTGGCCAAGCACATATTTAATGCCATGCATAAATATTTTTTTATTCGGAGTCATAAGAAGTCAACGTATGATAGATTTGCAACTATTTTGTTCTAAAACTTTACTTTCATTTTTCTGAACACCCTCATCCATTTACGGTACATGTACATGTATATTCCTTTTGAAAGCTGTCCAATAGAATCCCCTTCAATGAACTTGGCATGCACGTGATACCTCACATGCAAGCAGACTCCTGACCAATCAGATTTGATTAAACTGTCTCATACCCATGAGCCAGCATGTGATTTACACAGCGGGCATTATAACTTCTCGGCAGGCATTATCAAACGTTAATACATGGTCATGTGATGCGTTATGACCAAATAGAAAAACTGTCCCTGGTACAGTGGAATAAAACAGAAGTAACAATAGAAATACGCATTCATGATTCAGCTACGTGCAGGCTCACCATGGTGCCTTCATGAGGCATGTACCCAAAGAGGGTTTTTTATGGTTATGGATTAGTTTTAACAACAGGTTTTGCCCTTACATCGAGGCACACGTAAATAACAATGGCACAGTATGCTCAGTGTTTTTCTGAGAGCTTGCAAAAACATTCACAAGCTTACTCGGGTGGTTATGGCTTTATTGTTATGGATTTCGAGGAGTGGCACCATAATTGTTCTCAAATGAAATCACAGCATACATGTATTCAACTTCTATGAAAAAAGGTGCACTTGTCGACTTGCTTTCTTCTTGAATTCTGTGCCCTTGATGGAAGGTGATATGAGACGCTTTTGTTTCTTTTGGGCAGAACCTACTTTCTAACTCAAGTAACAACATACCCAAATTTATTCACATAACAGATCACAATGAAAATTGCCAGGCTCAGTTACTGTTTCTGTGCCCAGACAGAAGACGGAAGTTGACAATGGAGCCCACCCTTCAGCAATTATAATAGGCCTAATGTGCAACTACAACAGTAAAGCTGTCATGGCTCACTGGGACGCAAATCAATAAATTTAAAGAAACACATGAAACTTTGTAGTTTCTCTGTCTTTCACTACACACATATTGAACAGTTTTGTGATGGGTTTGTGATTCCAAAAATGTTATGGCTATCTGAAATGCATCCAATATCAAATATCTTATCAAATTCAAGATAAATGCAGAACATACAAACATAACGATATTATAAGTGCATAATCCATAACCACCCACCATAACCACAAAACCAGACCCAACCAACCAATTCCTATTCAACTACACCTAATCTCCACCTCACGGATACCTGAGCCGCATCTTGCCACACCCCATTCTCACATGTTCCTCCACTCCACCCAACCCCATCTAGTCCCCACTACACCCAAACAATTTCATATCCTATCCCACTATATCCCCACCCCATATTAGCAAATGCCCACCTCACTTGAATCCCCATTCATCCCATCACCCAGGGGGTTAGGGTTAGAGTTAAAAACCAAAAAAATCAATGGAGTTTAAAAATACTTTGGGATTTGACCCCTTCCGCTGGCCTTCATTGGTTGATCATTTTTCTACTGGTAAGTGCTGTCTTAGACCAAAGGTATCAATTGGTGATGGACAGGAAGACGTGTCCCTGTAACTTTTTAAAGTGGGGGCTATCATATCATTTGTCCCCTACACTTTTTCAGGACCCTAAATAAAAAACATAGGGGAAGTAGGCCTACATTGTACATTAGACTTATATTTCAGACAAGTGATGAACGCCCATGCATGCCCCCAACCCCTCAAAATCCTGGCAACCCAAGGACTGAAAGGCCCCTGAAGCCAAGCCAAGAGATGAAAATGAAGGAAAAGTGCCAGTTGGACTTACTTGCACAGCACTGCTGCAGAAGGGTTGAAACGAGCCACAGAAGGCACCAGAGAGCAGTCAGTGGCATCACAGTTAGAGGCTCTCTCCTTGCCATGACAGACCAGCTAAAATAAGACAGTGGATAACTTGCTGCCAGTTGACCACGGAGGTTGCACAAAGTCTAACACAAAAGCCCTGTCGCTTGGTCAATTAACTATGGACCAATCAGTCACAAGTTCAAAAACCTGTACACAAAAAAAGAGAAAAATTCAATTTGCAGTTTGATGAGCATTATATAGTTCTAAAACAGCTCTTGCATCTTATCCCATCTGGAATCTTGATCTTCAATGAATTTTTCATGCTAAACTACTGCGTCTTCCCTTCATTTCAAATATGAATTAAACGCCGTGAAATATTCACCGCTGTTATCACTCCCTGTCAGTAACTCAATAACACTGGGCTGAAATACATGTTTGAAGTTAGTGGCTGAACATGGGCCAAACTGCTAGCAGATAAGACGACAATACATGTACAATTTCAGTACAGTGTTCCACGGCTGATCACTGAGATGTTTTTTAAAAAGGACAAAACAAACAAGGGTTGTGACCTGCTGGTAGCAGTGTGTGCTCAAAGTGTGAGACATGTTTTTCTTGCCAAGTGACTTTAGTAAGCATGGGCAGGTGTATAAATTTCAATGGCATCACCTTTGTGGGTGAGTTAATCGACTGACAGGTGAGATGGACAATTGTTCACAACCTATAAGTGGGAAAATAAATGGGCTTACCACAGCTTACGGTCAATAACAGGATGTTCCACATATTCACAAATATCAGACATAAAACATAATTGTTGAGTGCTGAGCATTGCTTATCTGCTTCAATCAGCCCCCTACTCTTATCGTAATTAATAATTAATACATTTTTGTCACAATATTCAAACTGCCATCTAATTTTCATCACCGATTCTTTGGAACAATTTGATTGATAATGTAAGAGAAAGTGGCTGGCATCACCCGAAAGGGTTGAAGCCATCACCACACTAATCTGTGTCCTCTATCATCGGCTATGTTATCTAACCAACCAACTCAACGCAAACAGGTGGGTACCTGCACTGGTAAATCACACTGTAAGGGGGGCTTGGTACACAGTGAAGAATTCTTGTTTCATTAGTCATATTGACTTAGAGTCTACTCTTGCCCGATGCAAGGGTGTACCATCCTAGAAATCTTCTCCAACCACCCACTGCCTGTTCCTCCCCCCCTACCCACAGAGGATTAAGTTGAAAAGCTTTTCAAACAAATTTGCTCATAAGAAGGAAGATCTACTTTGATAAAAAGCAGTTTGCCTTTATCATTTTCTGGTTTGGTGCAACATTTCTCTCCATGGAAACACATGTAGAGCACAGTGGCTTTTCATTTCCTATGTTCACACATGGAAGAACTGTTTTTAGGAGTTTTACTGAGGGACAGAAATGCCCTCCTCCGAACAAAAACACTTTGAACACACAAACTGTAGTTACACACCTACCTGCAGCCTGCATAAAACCCTGCTTATGCTAAATTTGAGTAAAAAAGAGTGTTTTACATATTCAGCCTTGAAGAAAAAATTGGGCAAATATATCCACAGCATAGGAATCACAAAAGAGTTGGACCAATAACTGAATCGATGAACCACAGAGCAAGGAACCTGCAACGGTGTTTGCTGTGTTACGCAACGGCTTACGGCCCCTTTGCACACTGCAAAGTGTAAGAAAATTGATGCCAAGCAGTATCTGTCACTCCTTGCAAGATTCTAAACTTTTTGGGTGGAGGGGTGTTGCTGAAGGCAGACACAATAAAGTGATCTGTTCGGACCGCAAAAACAGTCGTACCGAAAGCGGGACTCAACATCTCTGCTTCCAGCGCACGAGTCTGAGAAGGAGCGGGTCATTACCGGTATCATGATTATGACTCACATGGCAAAACACCACGGGATCAGAAAAGCAAATGCCTTACACTGTTACAGCAAGTTTCTAATTTCTTCTCCCACAGCACTTGGGAATGTAATGATCAGGGCGCTCCACGGTCACCCGACGGAGGAAGTTAATAAATGATAAGAAACGGGTCCGTGACTCCAGCTTCGTCAACCACTTGTTCACGACTTCTGCCAAATAAGTTCAGGTCTGCGACTGCACGTGCTCAGAATTACAGCGCTCACCGGAAGCGGTCACCTAAGCGGTCGCCTCACTCCACCATTACTGTAGGCGGTTTTGCGGCGCGACGCGTACCAGCAGTCAAATTGTTTTTTTTGGGGGGGGGGTTACACAACAGTCTGGGAAACCTGGTTAGAACGCATGCATCCCAGCAAAGCTCTTAGTTTTGAGTCGTTTCGAAATATATTTTCTTGATAAATACTATTTTACAGTTGGATCCTACTTTATTTCACATTTATTACCAATTTGTGAATCTGAAGGATTTTTTCAAAGAGAAACTTGTGGTAAGTCCTTTTACTAAGGCCGTAAACCTACGGAAGCGTAAAAGGGCCACTTGCAATTTTCTTTTTTTTTGGAGTTACAATCTCGCCGCGGCGAGTATATGATCTTGCCGCGGCGTCAACTTGATATCCCGCTGCAGCGAATATTTCAATAGTTTCATAAGTCCTATTCAACGTGCCGTTTTAAAATGTATCTTTACAGTGAAATGCAGTGATATTTGGTTTTAGATTGCTGATTGGAATAAAGGGGATGTTTCATTTCAACAAAGCATGTTTTCCAGCACAAACGAAAACAAAGAAACCTTACTTTGTGGTGTGAATTTCCCCATTAAGATGAGGGGTAGACTATTTTTCAATTTCATTCCTCCTTACACTTTCCAAGTGCCACCCAGAAACAACCGGACTTGAAGGTTACAAATGAACTTTCATTTGTCAAAATTTATTAATTACAATACTTTTACAAACGTAACACATTAAATGCCTCACAGCTTTGGACGCTCAAAGCATTTCAGGTTGAACGCATACGTGTCATGCGCACCAGGCTGCAAGTGCCAAACTGTGTTCACGTTAAATTAACTCAATCCAATAAGTTCTCGACAAAAAGTACGTTACATGTATGTAAAATAATCCTTGCGCTGTATGGGTGGTTAGTGACGAGTGAAAGGTCAAAGAGCCTGGGGATTTCAATCCAGTTTATGAAAAAGTGTGTGTAATAGTTTCCTTTCACCTTCACTTCATTTTTGTTTTTGCCTCTTGAAATCTCCTACATTGTCAAATTTTAATGTTAAAATGATATCAGCATTGAGGTTTGCTCCGAAATGGCAACACACATTGGCTAAAAATATGCATGGGCGTCGCCAGAATTTTTTTTTCGGCGTGGGGGGAACAGTCTGGTTAAAACAATAACATTTAACTGCGGGGGTCGCTTTTATTTTATTTTCTCAAGCAAATAATTGTATTATATTTCAGTGCTAATTTTCATTTCTTTGGCTGTTTTCTTTTCTTTTTCCGTTCTTTTCAGGGTTCCCCCTTCGCGGAGCTTATATGAATAGGATTATTTGTATAAGTATAAATGAAAAGGCACCGTAATCCTTTCAACAGGCAGTCTACAAGAGAGTCAAAGTATGCCCCATTTCCGAATATGGAAATTCTTATCCCCAAAAGAGATGTCTTTTGTTTTCTTTTGTGTTGGAAATCAAGCTTTGTTGAACTAAGTTTTGTTTAAAGCAACCTGAAACCCAATCCCACTGCATGCCATCCTGATTATACATCTGGGTACAACGAAACGCTAAAAAAGATTTATAATGCTACTGAAGTACTTGAAAGGGGGTATAAATTTCACGCAGCGGCAAGATTGTATAACTTGACACAGCGAAATACACATGTCAGTTTAAGCATAAAATACCTACTGCTTGTGTTTAAAACATTAATAAAGAACAACTTAGCTCTCACCTGCTTTTTATTCAATCTTTCTTGGCATTTTTTGAAAGCCTAATTTGTTTTACGCTACTGAATAGGTATAGAGAAAACATAAACAATTCTACGTCTTTTTTCACCGGATCGTGCATTTTTCTTTTAATTTCGACTAACGTGCACACACTGACTAACTGAAATGTGCCGTTCACAGGCAGAAAAATACAATACAGGCGATTCACAATAGTCAGCTTCCAGGAGTTTGCAACGCGTTGACCAATCACAATGCAGGAAATCAGTCGACCCAATGCGCATATAGAAAGGGTCGACATATTTCGCGCGTTGTGATTGGCCAACGCGTTGCAAACTCTTGGAAGCGCACTATTGTGAATCGGCCGTCTTGGTAAAAAGAAATTCGTTCAAAATATTACACAATTTTAGTAAAATGTGGCCAAATGAAATACACAATCAGTCTTTAATTTTAAAATTACTTGTTATATGTAGTTAAACATTGTTTACACAAGTTGTGTATACGGTCAAATTTCGGACTCCGACCACGAAGTTACAATAATTATGTTACGTAAATGTTGTTATACGTTATACTTATCCCAATGCGTGCTTTTCGGTTCATGATTGACGTATGCACATGGACCAGACGAGCTGTATATATGTAGTATACACCGTCGGTGAAACGCAATCAAATTAAGTTTAGAACTGGAAGTTTCTGCAGAATAGATAATTAAAAATGAGTTCTGGTGGGATACTGCATAATCTCCGCAGCATGCAAGGATGTAAAATGTAGGCATTTCTCACGTTCTTAGGGGACTTTCTCATTGTCGACACTGAAGACAGTCTGATATACACATCGATATATTATTACGACAAATATGCTCGGTTGACCTCAGGTACTTGCTTTCTTTTTTGGTTGAACAGTTCTTCAAAGAAATTGACCAGGACTATCTGACTAAACTGGACATCCTGACAGTTGGTGTATCCCCAAGACCATATTTCAAATTACCACTGACTTAATCATTTTGGAGCCTTAATTTTGGCTTTTTTGTTTAGTTCTTCTGGTTCACCCAAAGTCCAACTAATTCTGGCTTTTTCTGCATACTGCGTTGAGGCAACGCTTAATTGCTTTACTAGGTTTGTCTGCAACTGTCTATTTACAATACGCTAAGCGTCCTAACAAGACAGTTGAAAAACGACATTCTCTATTAATTCAAACCAGGGGCACTTACCTAACTTCACAAAGTTCAGGTGAGACCACTCCGCACAAGTTATTATACTACCGGTGCAAACGTGCACGTGAGGCGAACCGCTCTAAATTGATCGTCGCGCGGGCACTGACGATCTTTTCTGAAGTTCTACAATCACGCGTTGCGGTGGACACGCACCTGTGAATACTGTTGCCCAGTCGGAATGGTGGAAATGATCTTTCAAAACTGACTGATTCTCATTCGTTGTGATGACAGGGTTGTGGGCTGCGCACTGCCAATTCAACAGCTTGCATCCACTCAGCAATTTGCGGTTTACTAATGAGTAAAAGAGTCAGAGGTTTTCACACAAAGCTTCACTTTTTTCTTTTTTTTCAAAATCACTATTAAGCCGATGCTTGCCTTACTATTCTCTGCAAAGTACGTTAATCGTTACACAAGCAATCAAGAATTTTTCAAGGATTTTCGCGACTGAACAGTTTTAAAGCTGCTGAGTAATTTTTACAATAAAAGAATGCTACTTTGGCACACGTTCACGGAATGCTTTTCCCAGTGGCCTATTCAACTTTTGGTGTCGGGGGGGGATTCAAAAGCAAATGCACTTTCGGGCTCATTCAACTTGACAATGGGGGAGAACAAAATATAGCCTATTTATTTGATACATGAATATACCGATTAGTTTCTTTCCTACTCACCTATTAGGTTTTTTTCAGTTGAGTTGTTTTCTTTCTAAAGTAAAAAAAATTGAAAAAAAAAATCAGGGGGCAAGTTCCCCGCCCCCTTCCCCCAGCCACTGGCTTTTCCACTTTACTAAAATGCAAAACTTCGTCCCCACCCTACACGTTTATTTATGCTTGTCAGGGTTAATACTAAGATTAAAGGATGGCATTACCGATCCCATGTGGTAATTGGCTGTCATGAATGTAACGGAAACACACCATTGCTGTTAATAGTCCGATTAAGCTGAGGCACTGTGCTCAGTTCTCTGAACTTATTTTTACATACAGCATTGATAGACGAACTGAGGACGCCAATGGAGAAAGACGAGCGCTGGCAGTTGTCATGTGACTACTTTTTCGTAATCTGATCTTAATTTCCCCCGATACCTCAAACATGACAGTTAACTTGACAGTGTCGCATCATTGATCGTACTTATATTAGTAGTATTTTTCAAATACTTTGTGTATAAGCACACTGATAATTAAGGTTTCGAGATGAATACATTTAATTTTCTATCAGTGGACTGAAAAGAACGAGAGACCACAATGTATGGCCATCCCCTCACAGAGGATTCAAAATACATTTTATGCTCCAGAACAATGGACGTTATTTTACATCATTTTTTACCCCGCAAACCAAATGTATTATGTCCTAAGTGGATTACAATGTGCCACCTCTGAGCCGACATAAAAATAGAATTGAGCGAGGATATGAGGCGCATTCATAGTCCGTTTCTGTACTGAAATGTACAATATATTCACCACATGCAGGCTTTTCTCCACGAGCAAAACGTATGGAAAAGTTGTCGCAAGAACCCGCTGGAATAACTTTGTGCTCATGTATGGTCTATGCGTACATGCAGAACGCGGGCAAGAACCCGCTAGTAACCACCTGTCTTTCTTTCGCCGATTGATGGGGCACTTCAGCTCGCAGCGGATAGCATTATGAAAAAATATTACATCCTCATTATCCCCGCTCAGTTCTATTTTCATGTCAACTCAGAGGTGGCACATTGTAAATCTACTTGGGACATAATACGTGTAGTTTACGGGGCAAAAAATGACGTAAAATAGCGTCCGTTGATGGATCTTGTGTGTTTCCAAGATCCATCCTTCGAAATACATGTAGTTGGTGGGGAAAGTTGTTGCAATGTGTTTCGTGGCCGTTCACTTTATTTGACAAAACTTGGGCATCTTATCCAGTTAACTGAATTAAATTGACGTCATGATAGTAATAAAAGCCTTCCAAACTCTAGTCAAAACACTGACAACTGGTCGACGAATTTAAAATGAAACTGACGCCTTTGGGACACAAGAAATGACTCCAGCTTAGTTGAACTTTTTTTGAACTACAAACCATTTTTACATTATCAGGTAAACAGACTCAAAAGCTGACAATCTGCTTAGTTCAAAGG